TTCTAATTTCTTGCAAAAATCACTAAGTTCTTCTTAGATGATTTCCCATCTTTCCACCCATCCAGACATGCCAGGAATCCCCAGTTGTATTGAATTCTCTTCTCCCTCATCTGGTCCAATAAAGGTTTCAATGATCTCCTTCTAGCTAATGTTTCAGATGCGATGTCTGTGAAAACTTGTATGGGTATTTTTGTATATCCGTATTTTATTTCTGGGATCGCCCACAGTTTTTACCATATTCTTTCTCTGTCCTCATAATGATGGAATTGAACAATCACGAATCTTGGAATGTTTGATGTTACTCTTGGCGGGCATCTTAATCTATGTATTATTACGAATAGTGGATTGGACATATAATGCAGAAGGGAAAGGCTGGGTAAATATGGAAGGTATTTTGAGTAAGGCACAGTTAGGGAAGATTGTCTGGATATCAAATAAATTCTGTATATTGGATGTGAATGCTAGTCCATTGACAAAGAAAGTTTTAAGTGTTTGGGATATAATATATAAGCAAAAGGGATGGAAATATAATTCAGCATTGACCCCCTTGTTGGGAACGGAGTACTTTCCCCCAGGGAAGGACAATATTTCTGGGAAATGGATTAAAGATAAAAATGCACGTTTGAAGCATATATTAAATTAGAGGAAATTGCACACTTTTCAAGATGTAAAGAAGAAAATAGATTTATATTTCACATTAGATGAGTGACGATACTACCAATTAGGTAATTTTGTTTCAAGGTTCCCACAACCACTGAGGACGCAGAAGGATCAGTATCCATTTGAAAAATTGTTGAATGTAAATATAGTTCCATATCTATAAGGATCTTATAGATCTTAGAGGTGACTTGTTTTGGAAGCAGCTGATCCTCCCTTGTTCTTGGAAAAATGGGAAAAGGAACAACAAAAGAATAAAATATTTAAACTATCACATGAAGTGATGAATATGAGCACAGTTGAAATGAATTACAAAGGTCTGGTGAGATGGTATATTACACTGAGTGTGGCACATAAACAGCAAGTAGATGTTTCACCTTTATGTTGGAGAGGTTGTGGGAATAAGTAAACCATGGCACATATATGGTGGGATTGCCCAAAAATACAGGACTACTGGAAAGAATAAATACAATATATTCAGGAAATATGTAGGATCGCCATACAGAAAGACCCGTGGATGTGTTTATTTTATAATTTTGAGCCTTCAGTGAATCTGCATAAAAACAGTGTATTATATCATTTAGTCAGTGCGGCTAGGGGCTTGATTCCCAAGTTCTGGCAAGCTCCGGAGCCACCAAGAATAATTGATTGGATAAATAGAGTTGAAAATAATTATAGGATGGAGAAGTTATATCATATAGAGGAGGATAAAACAGAAAAATTGAGGAAAATGTGGAGTAGTTGGTTAGACTTTAAAACATCTAAAAGATATCCGGAACTGGTTGGAGTTTAGGGGGAAAAGTCTAGAGAGAGGTCGACGGAGTATCTGAAAGGGAGAGTAGAGGTGGGAGGGAAGAGATATAGACAGAGAAGCATGAGAGGAGATAGATACTAGGCAATGGAACGTGGACAGGGGCAAATGAAGGAGGGGGGGGGGATAGAGGATAAGGTGATGTAAAATGGAATTTATGTATATGTGAAGTGTTTGTGTATAAGGTTGGTTTTTTTTTTGTACTGGAAAATGTAATATAAGATATAATTAAAGAAAAAAAAAAACATTTTAGAAACTTTACTGAAAACTCTTGTGGCAATGTCTATACAAATGAAATACAGTTCCAACCCTAACTCAATATGCTCAGGCTGCCCTGGCATACCTGAAAAGGTTTCTATCTGGAGTCATATCTGGTGTCCTCCAAAGCTGGCAGATTCCTCCTTAACTTCATTATCTTGTGGGACTACATGATGCAGCAGGTGATCTTCAGCATCCCGTGTGCAGATTCTCCCTCTGGGCCTGGCCTTCCCCCTATACGTAGAACCGGAAAGGAAGGCAGTACCCAAAAAGCCCAGGAAAAGAGTCTAGGACAATTAACCCCTTCCCAGACTGGGCAGACCTACTAACTCAATTACACACACACAATCCTCCTTGTAGGCACGTGCCTATGAGCTTATATTGAATTGTCAAATATAACTATTGTTTATATTGTTATTACAATGCTGGTGATATAAAATGAAAGTTTATGCTGTGCCCATAGAGCTCTTTTACGTTGTCCTAAATTTGGGGAGGATAATATTGATGTGACACTCTCTAGTGTACATAAGGATTTTTTGTACATATTTATAGGCTTGCTAGAAGCCTGGGTATGAGTCAGCCTGGGAGTCAGCGAGGTTACTTCAGGTTAGGCTGGAGGGCTCTGCAGGTCAGCTCCCTGATACCTCCCCTGCTCTAGAAACTTGGAGAAGTTTCTAGAAGCAGTGGACATGGGTGAGGAGGGGTTGATCTGCATACTTAGGGGAATCTGGCCAATCCCCAAGCAGGAGGCCTGGCATGGTTGCTAGGTAAGCCCTTAAATATAAGAGAGCCTGGTCAACAAGGGGAATCAGATAGAAGATGGAGTGAGGAAGTGCTGCTGGTTTGGAGCCTAGGAGGGGACCCCAGAGGAGGGGGGGGGTCTGCCTACAGGCTGAAGCTGGACAGAAGAGCCTCAACTGTTCCACAGTCTACCAGGGAAAGACAACCTGTCAGCGGTGAAGGAGCCAGCCCAGCATAAGGCCTGAAAGCAGTTTCAACGTTTAAGCTACAGGAACAGGACAATGTGAGTACACCCCCTGGGCCAAAGAAGGAGGAGGGCGGTCAGGTGCAATACCCAACTAGTTCTCCCTGGGACAGCATTCTCTGTGTGTCTCTTGGAATCCCTTGCCCTGGGATACTCTGCAGACAGCCAGGTGTATGGGGAGATTCTGGAGATTCTGGGGTCTGAGGAGGTTCATTTAAGGGGACCAAGTGCTCCTTGTAAAGACTTTGTGCTAATCTGCCAGAAGGGAAGTGCCACTCCAGAAGCCTAGGATCCATTTTGTGCTGGATAGATTTTTGAGATGTTTGTCTTCCAAGTTGTTCAGTTTCATTGAGCATCCCATCTACCCCTAGACCCTATCTAAATTGTTAACCCCTAGAAAAAAAAAACAAAAACCAAGCTCATGGACTGTTTACTGACTTTGGATGAAATGTGGAAAATGCTTCTTGCCTGGTTGTGCAGAGCTTAAAGGGACCCAAAAACTCAGCGGCCCTTAAGAGGGTAGCGCTACATTGACCACAAGTAAAAAATGGGACAGATTGACTGGAATATAACATTAAATCATTTTTTTTTTTTGCTATCTGTGTCCCATTCAGCAGATTTCCCCTCAATTCCTGCCTGTAGACATAACAAGAAGTAAAAACAAACCTCCCTATAGTAATGTGAATCTCCTATTTTTTAAATTTTTCTGTTCCTATTATGGTGACAACTCAAAATTTTATATTTTGCCACACTTCCTTTGCCAGACAGTGGTCGCCATGAGGGTGAGGGAATTTCCCTAACAGGGACACAAACATCAACAGAAAACTACTAACAGATGGAATCCTCCACACGCTATAAAAAAAATGCCTTTAGATATACTTAAAGGAATAATATACTTGCTAGCATATTGCAATGTAAAGCCTACCCAATGCTAAGTTTTTCTTTTATTTTGGAGACAAGGGTAGAAGATGGAAGGGCTAGAACCTCTGACAGGCTTTTATTGCGGTCTGAGTCTGTACTGGAGAGATTCACCTTCTCTATTTGTCCTGGTGATCAATGTCACCATGACAGAAAGTGATAAAATTGCAAAATGTTATGGTTGCTCCCAGGATAGGAGGTGAGTGGAAATCTTCCATTGCGAACAACAGTTACAGAGACAATTATCCTATACAGGATTATTTATTTATTGCAAGTATTTATGTAGCACTGTCATTTTATGCAGCACTTTACATACTTTTCATTCATGTCAGTCCCTGCTCTTAAGGAGCTTACAAGGTCCCTACCTTACATACATACCCATACTAGGTGCCAATTCAGACAGTAGGTAACTAACCTACGGGCACATAGGTGGATGTACTAACCACTGAGTCATTGTGTTGCCTCTTATTTTAACCCCTTTATGCTGGTCACACACAAATGTGCGGCCTCCCGGCATCTGGGCCTAGACGCCGGGCGGCCGCACATTTGCGTTCATGTAAGAAAAAAAACATATCTGCTGAGAGCGCGCTCCCTGCGCACTCCCAGCACACATGTCCGGTACTAACGGAAAGGTCCCGGTCTGCTCTTTTGATCGGGACCTTTCCCAATCAAGTGACTGCCGTGACGACGCGTCACGGCGATCACATGATCCCTAAACCACGCCCCCCACCCGCCCCGCCTCCCGGCGTCTACAACTTTTAAGGGGCCGGGTGGCGCCAGCGGGAAGGGGTTAAGGAAATCTCCTTTGATTTCCTATGTCTCTGGATCCCCAATGGCACACAGACAGCAAAAGAAATTGTGTTTTAACCATTTCATATTCATCCCATAACTGAAAAAAAAGTGTTGACTTTGAAACAACTGTTTCCAGGTTTGTTTTTCTTAGGTTTCCTTGGCATAACTGATAGATCAGCAGCAGAAGTGGAATATAAGCATGGTAATGGGCACACGGAGTAAAGAACAGCCCCATTATGACTAACTTGCATCCAAAATTGCCAACCACTCATTGACATCTGAAGCATTGGTGTACTGAATGTGCAGGGAGTATCAAAAAGCCTGTAGTTGATATATGGCCATTATTCTGCAGGGTTCAGATCCCATATAATTTTCACTCTGCAGAACTGCGATATAAAGACTTGCTTATGCAGCTAAATGTTACCAGTCAACCTAACGAGCTTACAGATCTATGTATAATATTTTTGTGAAAGCTAAATGCATCAAGTAAAAACAGTAATTGCAGTGCCTTGGTCCCACGCCCCAATGAAGAAGAATACATCTCATTAGAACATGTATAAGTAAAGTATATCTACTTACTTTGGCATTTCATGGCATTGACTTGCCACGAGAGGTCTTCTTTACATTCAGCAACAGCCTCACCCACAAGTGTGTACCCACTATTGCACGTGTACACAATACGTTTGCCAGCAAAGTACGAATTGTCATCATCCTGTTGAGAGAACAAGATAAAAGGAAAATAGAGGCTCAGTCATTGCTTTCTTGGGAATTAAGTGTGCTAGAAATTTAATGCTGGACTTCGGGGAAAATTCAGCATGAGCAGCTTTAATTGCTATATCCCTTACTTCCCCAGCAAGTGGCGCTCATCTCTTCCCCTCAGAGCTCTGGGCTGTGGGCCGACCCTTGGCATGTTCACTTATAATACAGGACTGCTGGTCCTTCATTGTATGTGATGACGCCAGAGTGTCACAGCACCAAAGAGGGGACTGGTCACTTAGAGAGGAGGAAGCCTGCATGATCGAGGGACAAGGAATGAAAAACTGCATTTAAGGGCTTGTTCACACTTGACTAAATTTCTAACTTTTAACAAAAAGTTCTTATAGCTTTAGTATGGGCGTTAGACTGGCTTTTTACAAGAGTTAAAAACGCTCCCCAAACACTCTATGTGCAGTTTTGAAGCATTTTATAAGAGTTTGACAAGTGTTAAAACCACACCACAAACTAAATAAACTGTAATTGACGAGCCACAACCACACCACAAATGCCCCCCAAACGCCTGCTAGTGCGTTTGAGGAGTGTCACCATAGACTTGAATGGGTATATTCACAAAGATATGTTCCCCAACAGTTTGTACCGGGACTTTTAAGGCAACTCAAAATAAAAGATATAAGCATGTAAATAATTTTATTACAAAATTGTGGTGAAACATCATAATTTGACATATAACACAAACTTGCTGTGGGCTGAGAATTGGTATTCACCCTCTTCTGTGACCCAGAAGAAAGAGAAGGGTTACTAAACCAGCTGAAAATCTAACGCGTTTCAGAGCAAAAGTCGTTCTTCAGGGGTATGCTGAAAGGGAAGGATGGCCAAGAAACATTCATCCAGTTTCCTTTTGTAATTTAACTCGTCATAATTGTACAAAAAGAACAGAAAATTATCTTCTCTTTATGTGCTCACCATCAACACCTCGATGCACCAGGGCTAGATGGAAAGAGGGCTCAGGATCGGGGGAGGGAAACCAGCCCCCAAAGTGAATTTCTCACACAGGACAGGAGCCACTTAGGGGGCTAAAAAAAGCCAAAAATGTCCCTGAAGAAAGACTTTTGCTCTGAACCGCTTTCTTCTGGGTCACAGGAGAGGGTGAATACCAATTCTCAGCCCACAGCAAGTTTACAGGCATTTTTCAACATTTTCTTCCATGTATTATTTTAACATTTGTGTTATATTCCAAATTATGATGTTTCACCACAGTTTTGTAATAAAATTATTTACATGTTTATATCATTCGAGTTGCCTTAAAAGTCCCAGTACAAACTGTCGGGGAACATATCTTTGGGTATATACCTTTGGGATGTTGGCAACTAGAGAATGAACCCTGTGCTGGATCCACATACTAGACTTGAATGGGAGGCGCTGAAAGGCTTCAAACTCCTCCTAACATAAAGCTTCAATTGTGAAGCGACACGATGCTGACGCTTCATGTTTTCATAATGTGCACAGCATTGTGTGCTGCCCATAGTATCATTTCCATAGGCATTTAAGGGTGTTAAAAACACCCCTCAAACACCTGCTTTCAATGCCAGTGTGAACTAGGCCAAAAGGTACCCAAGACAAAAATGAACCTGGAGTTCAACTTCATTCTGACTTTTCTTAACACAAAAGGACATTATAAAATTATACTGTATTATGGAACTCTTTTCAAAAGGTAAAAAAATAAGCAACATTTCAACTAAATTTCCATATTTTCTAAGAAATATCCCAGAAAAGAAAACTCCAATTTAATTAATTCCTAATAACTATAATGAAAAGGATAATTTTCTCAGCAACGGAGTTATGGCTGGTTTTGTCTGAAGTTGAATCCCCCTTTTACCAGAAACAATGGAACAAAGATATTGTTTACACATCTTGTCCACTGGCCTTGCTGTTCCTCTGAAAAGTGCAGTTGACAGGCAGCTAGGAGGTAATACGTTGCCTCCTCATTGCCTGTTTTAACCCAGAAAAGCCCACACCACTGTGCCACAACCATGTACACTGCATGTTGGTGCAAGTCCCTTTCACCTCATTGGGTCGTGTTTAGCAGTGGTACTGCCTACCAAACTGGAAATGGGGTATCATTTTTGCCACAGTCACAAAGCAAAGCTCTGCAGCCACGGCATGTGTTCAACCTTGTCCAGCTGCTGTTGCACCGTAAGGGGAGCAGTCGAGGGACGGTGCACCTGTGGCTCAACTGCCTATTTTTATCGCCACTGGCCACCCATGTGATCGAACCCTAAAAGTACACAAAACAGCTGTACTTACCAAGACATAGCCATTCCACAGAGTGGGAGGAGGAGGGCAGAACTCAGTAGGTAAAATGTTAATGTCAAAGCAGTGAGGCTCCACAGTTCTGCAGACAAATGAAAACACAATATTATTATTATACAGGATTTATATAGCTCCAACAATTTGCACAGCGCTGTAGAAAATCATGCATCAAGTGCATGGGAGCCTTGGCTGTCCTGGGTCTCTATCTTCTCATTGGCTGAGACACAGCAGTGGGAGCCACTGAGAATTTTTCCTAAAACTCACCACTTATCCCTAGAAGTTAGTAAAAAGCAGCCATCTCTTTCTCTGCAGGCTGTAGGGCAGGCATGTTCCACCTGTAGCCCGCGGAGCTGTCTGATGTTGCCCGTGACCTGAAACCTATGGCAACCTGCACAGACTCCTTCAGGTGCACACTACTCTACTGAATGATTGCCGGTCATCCATAATCCCAGTGGCTGTCATACTCAAGACACTATCGTGGCCAGCTCCCCGCAGCTCTTTCTTTCCAAACACACAGACATGGGGTGAGAAGCCTTTACCCGAGTGGATTACATCTAGTGGCATCCCTACAGGATTCTGAAGGTGGATTCTCACAGTTGTGTGATGAGCTGGGTGTCATTCCGAGAGCATGTGAGTGCATTATGTGTCATTTTATCTTTGCTAAATAAGGAAGTTTATTGCACTACTAGGACATGCACTTCCCTGGTCTGTTGTTTTTTGTTTAGATTGTCCACAGTCCTTGTTTTGCCAATTCAAGGGATGGCTGCAAAGACCTTCATATAGTTTAGGCTGCAACACTGGTCCGGAGCTGTTTTGGCTTGTCACACCTGATTGCAAGAGTAGGATTAATGGTGATCTGATTGATTAACCACTTGCCAACTGAGCTATAGTCAAATGATGTCCTCCCAGAAGGCGCCCCCAGCGCCACCTGACGCTGTCAGTGATCACTGTGCCCTATGGACACAGCTGATCACATGACCAGGTACAAGGATAATCACAGCAGCCTTTTACCACGTGATCAGCTTTGTCCAATGACTCAGCAGATCACAATGTAAATACAGTTGCTGGTTTTCATCAGCACTTTCCTCTCGCTGTCACAGCGTGAGGAAAGTACTGCCGATAACTGTCACAACAGAGGACATCGGCACTCATATACAGGGCACTGATGATGAGTGCCCTGATCATCAGTGCCGCCCATCAGTGCCCAGCAGTGCCACCCATCGGTGCCTAGCAGTGCCACCCATCGGTGCTGCCCAGCAGTGCTTCCCAGCAGTTATACCCATCAGTGCCACCAGTCAGTGCCATCAGTCAGTACCGCCAGTCAGTGCTGTCAGTCAGAGACTGCCAATCAGTGCAACCGATCAGTGCCCTTCAGTGTCGATTGTCAATGCCCATCATTGCTGCATGTCAGTGCAGCATCATCAGTGCCTCCTCATCAATGCCCACCAATGCCGCCTCATCAGTGCCACCTATCAGTGCCCATCAGTACTGCCTATCCATGCCACCTCATCAGTGCTGCCTATCAGTGCCCACCAGTGCTGCTTATCAGTTCAGCCTCATCAAAATTACCTGTTTGCAAAATTTTATAATAGAGACAAAAAAAAAACTTTTTTTTTAAATATTTTGCCCTTTTTTGGTTTATAGTGCAAAAAAAAAAAAAAAAAACCCAGTGGCAAATAAAATACTACCAAAAGAAAGCTCTATTTGTGTGAAACAAATGATAAAAATGTCATATGGGTACAGTTCCCCATATGTGATGAATTAGGTTCCAGCCGAAACGACAGCATCTGTTGGGAGGGGACAGAATGCGGCCTGGCCGTTTCATGCTCAATGAAGAAGGATTCCAGAGAAATGCGACCCTACGCTTTCCCAGGAACAGTTCCCTAACAGGTGGGGTACCTCTCCCTACTCTACCCACTTACAAAAAGTGTGCCAAACCCAGGGGCAAGGGTCTTAAATATACTCTGCCATACCTAAGATGGCCAACAGAGTCACATGGCAGCCAGCATCAAATTGGATTGCTGCCCCAGTGACTAAGGAAACCATAAAGGAACCCTGTTCCCCATGACTTCCTCTCTTTCTGCATTGCCGCTGCAGTTGGAGATAGCAGATTGTACCAGCATATGCACGACTGGTTAACAAATTACCTAAGTGGCCCATGCTCTTGAAAAGGTTGAGCAGCCCTACTATAGTGTGTTCTTCTGTGTGTAGTGATGTGATAATTTCTTTGCCCATTTTCAAGTGTATACTTCTGTTATGCAGTGTTTGTTTTGCCCTTTTCCAATATGGCTGCTATGCTCTCTGGGCACTGAGGATGAGGTCATCAGAGAGAGCACTTGTGGAAAAGAGAGGGGCGTGGATTTCCTGCAGAGAGAGAGCTCAGACTGTAGGTGTTGCAGCCTCCCCTCACTGAGACATGCAAAAAAGGCTGCTAATGCGTTAATGTTCCTGTTTGGAAGATACTTTATGTTGAATGGTTCACTGAATGTTATTTCTTCAATACATGGACTTTCATATACAATGATGTGCGGATTACTGTCTATGTGGATGATACATTTCTCAGTTGGGATTTCACTTGTTATCCACAAGCCCCAATCGAGTGGACTTGTTAGAGATCTTGTCCTGATTACACAGATTATAAGGACTCTGCTCCTAATTACTATACAGGTGGCGCCATCATACCCCAGTAGCCGCAAAGAGTGTAAAAATAGCACTACATGTGTATAAACCATCCTTCTTTAAGAATATCATCCAGTATCAGCCAGTTCAATAGAAACCATCCAACATTCTGCCCGTGTGTACACCAGCCTGCCCGACAGAAGTCAGCTGAACAGTTGGCCTCTGTTGAATGGGCTTGCAGGAAAACCAGCATCTGAACAGTGCTGGCAGACAATGACTGTGAATGCTGACAGGTGTGTTCTCGCAGGACAGTCCTCCTGTCAGAACACAATAGCTCAGCAGGGAGATCGCTGTACTAACATTGGATAGTTAGTACAGCAAGCTTCTCCCGAGCTCATAATTTTTTTTCTTTCAGCCCGCTCGGTTGAACGGGAAAAAAAAAACCTGATAGTGTGTACCCCGCATTAGATAGCTTCTTAGGCTAGATTTACACTGCTGTGGTATGTTATCACACACACATTAATGTGCATTCACATGTAGCTCACATACATGGTATGCTATGAGGCATGTGCTTTGTGGTGCCTTGGCAATGTATGCGTCAGTGCCATCCAACCAGGAATCAGCCAAAATCTGAGCCGTGTATGGCCAACTTTAGTTGATCTTCCCTATTAACTGACAGACATTTGTTAAAAAAGAGTTTCCTAATATAACTATAATATGTTAAGAAACGCTGTTCAGTATTTTTGGACAAAAAGAAAATGCTAATACATCAGGATCCAAGAATAAGATATTCAATGCCAAAGGCTAGGTTGGCAGAGAGAGAACAAGTGACCTTTGTATAAATTTGCCTAATATTCATCAGTAATAAGCAAGCTCCCAATTTTGCAGATGATAAAAGTCAACGTCCATTTGCTGACAAAGTGACAATGACAGTTGTCAGAACAGGTGAGTGTTTTATCAAGGATATGGCATTTGGAAAGAACAAATATTAGCACATGGCAGATGCATGCTGATCATCTGAGAGCTGTAATCAGATTTTAGGCGTGTTTCTGTTATTAACTCATTTGTATTGCTTTATTTCTTTGCACTTTTTTGGCAAGTACATTCATTCATTCAATACACATCCATTGGGCAGGGCAATGAAGAAAGTAGGCCTAGGTATATATTTTACTGTAATGCTGGTACTAAAAATGATCACTTAAGAGAATCTGTTAGTGGACCTGGAATCGAAAAGTGAAGACTTGCTATATTATTATTGTTATTTTGTGTCTAAGTAGTACTCTGAAAAATCTACCTTTTTATCTTGAGCTCCTCTAGAAACTTTAAATGGACCTGTCAATTAATAGTAAACATAGTACTACAAGGGAAGTTCAATGAAAAGAAACATATATTTTTTTCACTGGTTAAGTTTTTAATGTACTTAGAGAGTAAATTTAAAGGCATATACTGTGTTGTGTAATGTGTAAGTTCATCTTTACACAAAAAAAGAAAGATGAACTAACACCGCATACTGTCCCCTCCCCCCAGTCCCTACTGCACTTACCTATGTGGATGATTGGCTTTCACTGCCCACTCAGCTGGTGTAGGGGTCCAAGGTTTTGAAAGCCACAGGCTTCTTCTTTCCTTAGGGATAAAATAACGAGTCAGGGTGATTCTAATTGGTCAAAACATTCATGTGCCAGCAAATGACCAATCAGAAATGCTCTGATCCATCCCAGAGGAAGACCACGGCTGTCAGGAATGGACTCGCCAATGGTGGTGGGACTCACCTGCCTTGTGGGCTGCATTACCAGGGCTGGCCAGCGGGTGCTCTCAGCAGCCAGAAGCTCACTCCTGCAATCAAGCCATCACCTGAGGCTGATTGCAGGAGGTGTATTTAAGGAATGGCCAGGCCTGCAGTCAGGGCCTTGGTATATTGTTCCCATGAGCCCCTGTACCTGCATCCTGTCTGCTTCCTGCCTGATCCTGACTCTGCTTGATCCTGACTCTGCTTGAACTCTGCCTGCACCGACCTCTGCTACTACTCCTGACCAATCTTCTGCCTACTCCTTGTACCTTGTCTGCCCGTTAGCTATCGACCCGGCCCGCATGACTACGTTGTTCTCATATTTATATATATATATTTTAGTTAAGGTTTGGGTTTGTTGCACCTTGTTGTACGTATTTGTGTTAGTTTTGGGTTTGGTTTGTTGCACTGCGTTTATGTTTGTGTTGCCCTTAATAAATTATATTGTTTTACACGCTATACCTGAAGTCTGTGTTTCCCTGTGTCGGTCCACACACCTCTGGTCATACTCGGAGCCCTGACAACAGCTTTCAATTCCCCGTACCCCTGCTCCAGCTAATAATCATGAAGGTAACAGTGTTAGTTCACTTTGAACTTTTCGTGAAAAGGTGAAATTATACTTTAAATTTTTCCACTTCTACTTTTTTGTTACTGTAGCAGTACAGATTTTGTTTTGGAAGAGTTAGAATTGACAGGCACTAGTGTTCTTCTCAGATGATGATCAAAGAATTATATATATAACAAACCGTAAGTGCTCCAGCTCATCCTCCTCACACTTTTGACTTTCTATCGAGTCTCCAATACAGTTTCTTTCCTCCTCCACTGGGTGCTGGATTGTTACAAACCCGGTTCCGGACTCTTCTTCCTGAGGTTCCTCGACAGATGCTCCAGGATGACCAGCAGCTCCAGCTACCATGAACAACTCCTTCAATCATAAAAAATTGGGTGAGATATACAGAAATCAAGATTAAGATGACTCATACTTATTAAGTGTGATTGCTTGTATAAACTGGTTGCAGGGACAAATTACTAACTTACTGCAGCTACCATCCTTTAAAAAACATTTCTAGGAATACTGAATCTTAGACAATCACATACAGTATAATACTGTCTTAGAATACCATGTGGCCATAGTATCTCATCTCAATAATGACTTTGTAAAGTTCCTAAAGAAAATATTTTCTGAAGGAAATGGAGACTGCAATTGTTCAATTTTGATTGTGCTAATCCCTGTTTCTTGGCTGTCATGCTGGCCCCCAATCAGTATTTTAAGTCACTGACCCAGAAGTATGCAAGACAATGACACGCCTGATCGGGGCGGACTGACAACTCATGGTGCCCCCGGGCAATAGGGGATCATGGGGCCCCTGTGTCCTTGCCCAAACTCAAAAAAGCCTATGAAAAAGGTACATGGGGCATCTCATGGGGCCCCCTACTGACCCCGGGCCCTCGGGCAGTGCCCGAGTTTCGAAATGGTCATTCCGCCCCTGATCTTCATACTTGGTAAGGGTGAGTAGCTCACAAAGTATTGAAAATGAAGTGCCAGAGTAGTAGACAAGGATTCTCTAGAGGTCGGCATTGGCTGCCCCCATATCTCAGGTTCAATTTTACATTTAAAACACAGATTTTTAAAGAACAGTACAATAGGGAAACCCACAGCTAGTTGTGATAGGAATACCTCTGCATGCTGAAAGTATGGTGCCACAATGTGGGTTTCTAGATGTAGAGTAGACATAGACAACCCAGTAATTACAATTGATGCTTCCAATTTCCAGTTTAGCTTACCATTATAGGCTGTGTTTCTGAGCTCCTAAAAGGCAATGTTTGAAAAACTGTCTAGAGGCCATGCCAAAATACCATGCTGTCACCACTGGGCAAGGGTCATGGCAAGTGCTGGTTCTAGGCAGTTTATTTTAGGCACACTGGCTTTTGTTCACACTAGAACTGATTTTCTCTGTTAGTATCTTATTCAGCCAAACTGGCTTCCTGGATGGTCTCCAGCTATGGGCATGCACCTGTGTCGTGTTTTACACTAACCCTATGATTAAACCCAATCTGGAAGAAAAATATCAGAGGGGTGCTTGCTGAGTAGTGACAAGCTCTCCCGAAGGCACCTGGTTTACGACAAGTCAAAGGCACCCATGAATGCTTAGAATGGTGCTGTTCCTTTGAATTTCTCAGCTGTTATACATGCTTTATTGAATGGATGACATAAGCACAAAGGGGGGGGTAGGGTTTGTTTGGTACTTCTAAAACATAAGAAATGTTTATGGTGTGTTAACTTCTGAATATACAGTCATGGCCGAAATTGTTGGCACCCTTGATATTTCTCCAGGAAATCATGTATTTCTCACGAAACGTATTGCATTAACACATGTTTTGCTATACACATGTTTATTCCCTTTGTGTGTATTGGGACAAAACAAAAAAAGGGAGGAAAGAAAGCAAATTCGACATAATGTCACACAAACCTCCAAAAATGGGCTGGACAAAAGTATTGGCACCCTTTCACAACTGCGGATAAATAAGAATGTTACAAGCATGTGATGCTCCTGTAAACTCACCTGGGGCAAGTAACAGGTGTGGGCAATATAGAAATCACACCTGAAAGCAGATAAAAAGGAGAGACGTTCACTTAACCTTTGCATTGTGTGTCTGTCTGTGCCACACTAAGCATGGACAACAGAAAGAGGAGACGAGAACTGTCTGAGGACCTGAGAACCAAAATTGTGGCAAAATATCAACAATCTCAAGGTTACAAGTCCATCTCCAGAGAACTAGATTTGCCTTTGTCCACAGTGCGCAACATTATCAAGAAGTTTGCAACCCATGGCACTGTAGCTAATCTCCCTGGTCGTGGACGGATGAGGAAAATTGATGAAAGATTGCAACGCAGAATAGTCCGGATGGTGGATAAGCAGCCCCAAACATGTTCCAAAGACATTCAAGCTGTCCTGCAGGCTCAGGGAGCATCAGTGTCAGCGCGAACTATCCGTCGACATTTAAATGAAATGAAACGCTATGGCAGGAGACCCAGGAGGACCCCACTGCTGACACAGAGACATAAAAAAGCAAGACTACAGTTTGCCAAAATGTACTTGAGTAAGCCAAAAGCCTTCTGGGAAAACGTCTTGTGGACAGATGAGACCAAGATAGAGCTTTTCGGTAAAAGCACATCATTCTACTGTTTACCGAAAACGGAATGAGGCCTACAAAGAACAAAACACAGTACCTACGGTAAAAATATGGTGGAGGTTCAATGATGTTTTGGGTTTGTTGTTTTGCTGCCTCTGGCACTGGGTGCCTTGACTGTGTGCAAGGCATCATGAAATCTGAGGATTACCAAAGGATTTTGGGTCGCACTGTAGGGCCCAGTGTCAGAAAGCTGGGTTTGCGTCCAAGATCCTGGGTCTTCCAGCAGGACATTGACCCCAAACATACGTCAAAAAGCACTCAGAAATGGATGGCAAAGAAGCGCTGGAGAGTTCTGAAGTGGCCAGCAATGAGCCCAGATCTAAATCCCATTGAACACCTGTGGAGAGATCTTAAATTGCTGTTGGGAAAAGGTGTGTCCTTCCAATAAGAGAGACCTGGAGCTGTTTGCAAAGGAAGAGTGGTCCAAAATTCCTTCACAATTTATGAAGAGAGGACCAGGGTGAGAGGTGTCAGAAGCTTATTGATGGTTTATAGGAAGCGACTGATTTTCAGTTTTATGTTTTCCAAAGGGTGTGCAACCAAATATTAAGTTAAGGGTGCCAATACTTTTTGTCCAGCCCATTTTTGGGGGTTTTGTGTGACATTATGTCATATTTGCTTTTCTGCCTCTGTTTTATATTTGTTCCAATACATACAAAGGAATAAACATGTGTATAGCAAAACATGTGTTAATGCAATAACCTTTTTTGTGTGAAATACTTGATTTTCAGGAAAAATATCAAGGGTGCCAACAATTTCGGCCATGACTGTATAACATTTTTCTATCAAAGACACAGTGAACGGTCTTCTAATATATGGGTATTGTAGTGGCTGCCTACAAGCCAGATCTGAGCCTGTGTCTTGTTTGGCTGGTAAGTAAAGATCAACCTGGAAAATTGTGAGCTGTGTATTGCAGGTCAAATTCACCTGAGGAGGAAATCACATGAAATCTAGTAGTGTCTCAAACTGATCTGAAAACGCAAACAGAATGCACCAGAAGCATATGCCCCATCAGCACAAGCCCTCTGTCCATGGTTCTTGTGGAGATTTATGCTTTTATATAGCCACCCATACACACAACCACTAGAGGAAGAATCTACCAATATACAAAATGAACTACAGCCATGAACTGACTATACACTATCATTTTCATACCTGGACTTTCTTCTGCCAGGGACCCATATTGACAGGCTTTTCCATAGGTGTTCGGTTTACAGTAACATTCACACTTTCTTCCATTGATGACTGGTTGTCCATTGTTCTGACATGGTTTGCAACGGCATGAATGTGCTTCACTGATATATTCCTCAATGGCTCGTTTCAAATATATTCTTTTAACTGATGCACAAGGCACTTCTTTTACCAGCTCGTGCAGGGGAGTAAGCTTAAAAAATGGAAACAAAATTCTGTACAATGACTCATTAGGATTTACCAATTCTGAGACCTCTCAAAATGTGGCATCCTGCATCTATATGGTCAGAAAATCAGTTACCACAATATTCTTATCATTTAAACTTTAGTCTCATGAAATACATTATTAATCATGTATGGAACCCCCTCTCTAGGAATAAATCCTAAATATATATATATATATATATATATATATATATATATATATATATACAGTTGTGTTCAAAATAATAGCAGTGTGTTGAAAAAAGTGAATAAAGCTCAAAATCCTTCTAATAGCTTTTATTTTCATACACACAAATGCATTGGGAACACTACACATTCTATTCCAAATCAGAACATGAAGAAAAATATATCAAATTTGTGTTGTTCCTCTAAAAAAAAAAATTGAAGAAAAGTGAATATTAGACTGTTCAAAAAAATAGCAGTGTTTGTATTCTTCTTTACGAACTCAAACATTCACTATATAAACTGAAAAATGTTTGAAGATTTTGCTTTCCTTTGAATCACTTAATGAATATTTAGTTGTATAAGCACTGTTTCTGAGAACTGCTGTACATCTGTGTTGCATGGAGTCACCCAACTTCTGGCACCTGTGATCAGGTATTCCAGCCCAGGATGATTGGACTACATTCCACAGTTCTTCTCTATTTCTTGGTTTTGCCTCAGAAACTGCATTTTTGATGTCACCCCACAAGTTTTCTATTGGATTAAGATCCAGGGATTGGGCTGGCCACTCCATAACGTCAATCTTGTTGGTCTGGAACCAAGTTGTTGCACGTTTACTGGTGTGTTTGGGGTCGTTGTCTTGTTGGAACACCCATTTCAAGGGCATTTCCTCTTCAGCATAAGGCAGCATGACCTCTTCAAGTATTCTGATGTATTCAAACTGCTCCATGATCCCTGGTATGTGATAAATAGGCCCAACACCGTACTATGAGAAACATCCCCATATCATGATGCTTGGGCAACCATGCTTCACTGTCTTCACAGTGTACTGTGGCTTGAATTCAGTGTTTGGGGGTCGTCTGACAAACTGTCTCCAGCCACTAGACCCAAAAAGAACAATCTTACTTTCATCAGTCCACAAAATGTTGCGCCATTTCTCTTTAGGCCAGTCAATGTGCTCTTTGGCAAATTGTAACCTCTTCAGCACATGTCTTTTTTTCAACAGTGGGACTTTGCGGGGGCTTCTTGCAGATAGCTTGGCTTCACATAGGCGTCTTCTAATTGTAACAGTACTCACAGGTAACCTTAGACCTTCTTTGATCTTCCTGGAGCTGATTGTTGGCTGAGTCCTTGCCATTTTGGCTATTCTTCTATCCATTCGAATGGTAGTTTTTCGCTTTCTTCCACGTCTTTCAGGTTTTGGTTGCCATTTTAAAGCATTTGTGATCATTTTAGCTGAGCAGCCTATCATTTTTCTGCACTTCTTTATATGTTTTCCCCTCTCCAATCAACTTTTTAATCAAGGTACACTGTTCTTCTGAACAATGTCTGGAACAACCCATTTTCCTCAGAATTTCAGAGAGAAATGCACTATAACCAGCATGTACAACATTTGCTGCCTTCCTTCCTTAAATAAGAGCAGTAATTGCCACCTGTTTTTCAAAGAATGAATGACCTCACTAATAGAACTCCACACTGCTATTATTTTGAACATGCCCCTTTCAATTAGTGATTCAATTACACAGAATCAGCAGCATGCATGTCATGACTGTTGGGTCTGTTGGATTTCTATTACTCTACTACACCTGCTAGTAAATTATTTGCCATGTAGAAATATCATTTCTACCAAAAACAGTGATTGATCAGGTTAGTGATGTCTGACTGCTATTATTTTGAACACAACTGTGTATGTATGTATGTATATATATATATATATTACTGTAAGAAAACATTGCAATGGTATTATTTGTGGCGTTTGCACAAATGTTATTACAATCACACAGCATTTTTTTTAATAAATAGATACCTATATCCGTATCCCTATCTATACCTGTTAAAGGGGCCAGCTTGTAGGGATCTAGCAGGACATAATTTTCTGACTAAATCTCCACTTGTGAATATTTTCAAAATGTTAGTAACACGTGCAGAGGGAAATTAATGATTATACACAGTGGTAAACATTTTTTCTCAATAAACATTCAGTCTTTACTTTCTTAGGTAGTGCTGGACAGGGACTAGCTCTCTGCCTTTTACTGAGATTGTTTTTACATATTGCCTACGCAACTCCTTCAAAGATTTACTGCTATTTTTATTTTTAATGATTTACCAAGAAATCCATCACCTTGCAGCATCTCACTTTGTTGTGATTGTCCTTAAGAAGGAAACTGACAATCATATCTGCCTTCCACAGATGAACTCATCAGCACCATATGTCAAGACAGATGCGCCAAAATACAAGCTGACAAATTTTACGAAAAACTTTCCAGCTAGTGAAGGCAAAGTTACAACAATATATCTAAATGCATTTTTAGAAATAAAATACATACACACTATTCCAAGCAGGATGGGAACAGAAGTTAAAGAAGGTACAGCTTAGTCCAAGCGAATCGGAAGTCCATGAGATATGGGCTTTTAAAGCTAGCCATACACACTCAGTTTCCCCGACCACAATAAACAACGTGGACATACGAATCTTCCTTTCCGGCTTTTGTGTTTGGGCAGCTGTCAGAATACTAAAATAGTGACTTCATCTCATTGCATACATTCACTATTTGGCCAACAGTTTTCCATCCACTCCTTCAATTCTTCTATAAAGGTTTGTCTAGCCAGGTGATGCCAGCAGGACAACCAATGTTTAGAATTTTGGCTGATTCCTGTGAATTGCCGGAAAATTTAATAGTGTATGGCCAGCTTAAAGGGATTGTAAACCTCCAGTTTTTCAGTGTAAATTAAAAAATAATAAACACGTTATACTTAGTGGCTCTGTGCAATGGTAGTGCACAAGGTGGTCCCAAACCTCTTCTGATGTACCTCGCCGGCACTCTGGGCTTCTCCTCTCTTCCGAGAGCCCCCACAGCAAGCTGTCTGTGTGCATCCATAGACAAAAACAGTGTAGCTCCCCCCCCCCCCCAGTTCTCTCCTTACAGGATTGTCAATGGTTGCCATTGTGCTCTTTAATGCAAGAAGAGAGAAGCGTGGGGCTCTAGGATAGCACTGGATTAAAAGTTGTGACAGGAAAGAGTTCAGGGATGAGGGGGAGACACAGACACTGGAAGGGTTATTTAGCTTAAAGTGTAACTAAACCCAGGACCCTGCATTCACTATATCTGGTCTCCCCGGACCCCGCATTCACTATATCTGGTCTCCCCGGACCCTGCATTCACTATATCTGGTCTCCCTGGACCCTGCATTCACTATATCTGGTCTCCCCGGACCCTGCATTCACTATATCTGGTCTCCCCGAACCCTGCATTCACTATATCTGGTTTCCCCAGACCCTGCATTCACTATATCTGGTCTCCCTGGACCCTGCATTCACTATATCTGGTCTCCCCGGACCCTGCATTCACTATATCTGGTCTCTCTGGACCCTGCATTCACTATATCTGGTCTCCCCGGACCCTGCATTCACTATATATGGTCTCCCTGGACCCTGCATTCACTATATCTGGTCTCCCCGGACCCTGCATTCACTATATCTGGTCTCCCCAGACCCTGCAGTCACTATATCTGGTCTCCCTGGACCCTGCATTCACTATATCTGGTCTCCCCGGACCCTGCATTCACTATATCTGGTCTCCCCGGAACCCTGCATTCACTATATCTGGTCTCCCCGGACCCTGCATTCACTATATCTGGTCTCCCCGGACCCTGCATTCACTATATCCGGTCTTCCACAGTACACAGAACATGGAAATGCTATTATTTTAGTAAATATAAACTGCTAAATACTTTTTTTCATCATCAGTTAGAGCAGTCTTGTGACTTCTATCAGTGTCCAGCAGAGCACTGGTTAAAGCTTGTAGGAGGAGTTTTCTCTAGGAGGATGCAGAACCCCTGACCTCTGTCTGGACAGTGCTGATTGGCCCTGTGCTCATCACATGCACTCTCCCAAGGAAAAAATAATCTCTCTAGTAATACACACCAAACTGAGCATGTGCAGAGTGACTCAGCACGATATGTCTTATCAGGCGATAAGAGGGGGACACTGGAAGAAGGGGAGGATCAGAGAAGTCAGGATCAAACAGCATTTTTACACAATGCAGAGGATTAACCCCTTAGGTTCCACAGTGAATACTGCAAGCATGCCTTACTGCATATACAGACTGATTTTACTGTTGTGGGTTTAGTAACACTTTAACGTGCAACTTTACCCATAACAACTTGATAAAAAATAATGTTCTTTAGAAAGGGAACATACATTCCACATCGATAATTCTGCTACCAAAATTAGTGTATACTGTAAATTGCCTTTAGCATTGTTCCTGTTTCTTCTTGCTGGTGGCCGCCATTTTTCTGAAGCCCAGAGCCCCTGAGCAGCATTAAATATTTAGGAAGACAGCAGATTGGCCTCTAAAGTTTCGGCACAGTGCCAAAAATAGAGAGCAACTGAGCATGTGCAGGGGGTGAGGCAGTGTATTAATGGATTTTAAACAGTTTGGACATTTGTAATGTTTTACATAGCTATACCTGCAAAAGGGGCTAGCCTGAAGAGGTCTAACAGGACCTAATTTTCTGACTAAAGTTCCACTTTAATGCAGAGAATGCATTAGGGTAAAAAACCACCTATAACCTATATCCCACCGCCCTATAGAAGAAATACTGCTATAGGGTGACAGGGCTGTGCAAAATCACACACACACACACACAAGTGATTTTGCATTC